CCACCCAGTTCCCAGAGGTTCTTACAGCCAAGGCTCCCTCCTCCCACCACCCCTGACCTAACCCCGTGAGCACCTGCTTCACGCCTGCCCCAGCAAGGCCGAGACCCAGGACCTCTGCAGGCTCAGGTCAGGGGACAGCGTCTGCCGGCTAAGAGTCTGGTTTTCCCCCACACCAGAGCACAGGACTTCATCCGCGGACTCAGTTCGCATTGGCTGATTGTCACCCAGGCCTCTCAGTCAGGAACCGAACTGAACATTCTGGAGCTCATTCCAGTTTTCCTAGACACCACACCAAGTGATGTCGGGGTTCCTCTTCCTCCTCCTGGGAGAGTTTCCACCCACAGTCAATGTTCCATGAGACCATTAGCTCTATCTCTGGGGCAGAGGGCTTACAAATGTCCCATGTCTCCCAAGTCGCTGGCACGGGGCTGCCTGCACTCCCAGAAACCTCTTATAAATTACTGGCATCTAACCCAGTCTCTTATGGCCTGTGCCCTCCCCATCGAGGCTGCTGTCTCCCCCTGCCCTGTAAGAAGGGAGCAGAGTCCTTCCTCGGGGACACAGCCCCGCTCCGTGTCAGCAACAAGTCGCCGAGGCCCCACCACTCCTTCCCACGGGATGGTGAGACAGCCAGCGTCACTGCCTCTTCTCTCTTGCCAACTTCTCTTGGTAAGTATGCCTGATAAGACCCATCCCTTAACCTGGACGAATTTTCACGAATTCTTCCTCAGATCCAGTATATAATGGTGATAATCACAAAAGACTCACCTGGCAAAATGGCACAAGACACTGACTAGTGAGGACATAAAAGTCATTTTTAAAGGACAGAGAATGAAAGAAAGAGGGGATTAAAGCACCAAGGCTCTTTCTACAGACACCTGCCCTGCCCACCACTGCACTTCCCTCAGTCAGGTAGCTTCCCTGCCTCTCCACTTCCCCAGCCTCCCACCCCTGCACACTCTTCTGGATTCCACTTTCCAGATTTCATTCTCTTGCCTTAACTTCTTTGAGAAACTGTCCAGGAGTCTGAACAGTAGTCATCCTCCTCTGAAATATAAATTAAACCTTTCCCTATCCTTGTGTGAAGATTGCCTCCTGAAATGCCTGGGCAACCCTGGGCAGTGAAGGGTCTTATTCTAGAATGAAGGGTGGGAGACAGAGAGATGAGCTCTGCCTGTCTTATTCTGGAAGAAAATCCTAAGAACCCTCACAGGAGTGAGGAGCCATGTAAAGAGCAGAGGATAAAATGCTGAGAATACTCTGTCCCTGATGACCAGGTGGATAGAATCTGGATTCCAGGTGGTGGGAGCAGGACAGGAAGTAGATCAGCCTTGCGATTGGAAGGGTGGAGAATCCTTAGAAATGGAGCAGGGCCGATGTCATAGAGGGAGGGTAAGGATGAAACTGTGTTAAGTGCCTACTGTGTGCAGGGCACCATGCCAGGATCTTATATACATTCTCCCTCATAATCCCCATGATTCAGTGATTCTGCTCCTAACTACCTGCATGCACCTGGCTCCAGGGAACACGAGAAAAAACTCCTGGACCCTAGAGAATATCATACTCAGTGAACTAAGTCAGACAGAGAAAAACAAATATTATATGATACCACGTCTATGTAGAATCTAAAAAACCATAAAAATGAATCTACATACAAGACAGAAACAGACTTGCAGACATAGAAAACAAACTTAGGATCACCAAAGGGGAGAGGGATGCAAACTACTACACATAAAATAGATAAGCAACAAGGATTTACTGTACAGAACAGAGAACTATATTCAGTATCTTGTAATAACCTACATTGGAATATAATCTGGAAAAAAACAGAATTACTTTGCTGTCCATCTGAAACAAACATATTATTGTAAAGCAAGTAGACTTCATTTTTTAAAAAAAGAACAAAAAAATAGGAAAAGAGTAAAATAGGGAAAAAAGGGGGGGGGGCCTCCTGTGAGGTTGGGTGGAAGAAGTCAGAGAGGACACAAGTATGTGCCTTCTCTTGTGTGAACTCTCCCAAACAGGCAAAGTAACCAGCATGCTTGCGGACGCCTACTGAGGAGGTCAGACTCTGCAGAAAAGCAAGGAAGTGCTTATCTCTGGAGATGGGGACTTTGTGATTTTTAAGGGACACACGGAGACTCCTGGAGTACAAGGGTGTTCCATCTTGTTACCCTAGAGGTTTACATTGAGTACTTCTTGATAATAATTCACTATGTTGTATGTTCATTATTGTATAATTTCTGTGTATTATTTTCTGCAATCAAGAAAGGTCTTCAACAAAAGAATATTGTGGATAACTGTTGGGCATTAAATGTTTCCAATATTTGGGGAGGGTTGTTAGGATTCATCACAGATGTGGGTAATGAGGCAGATGGTATGAATATTTCACAGTTCTAGATACACAGACCCTATGTGATCTCACTGCTTAATTTGCATTTCTATGACTACTAGTAAGTTACAGCATGTTTTTAAATGCTTCTTTCTGTTGTTCGGTCACTCAGTTGTGTCCGACTCTTTGCTACCCTATAAACCGCAGCACATCAGGCTTCCCTGTCCTTCACCATCTCCCAGAGCTTGCTCAAACTTGTGTTCATTGAGTCAGTGATGCCATCCAACCATTTCATCCTCTGTCATCCCCTTTTCCTCCTGCCTTCAATCTTTCCCAGCATCAGGGTCTCTTCTAATGAGTTGGCTCTTTGCATCAGGTGGCCAAAGTACTGAAGTTTCAGCTTCAACATCAGTCCCTCTAATGAATATTTAGGGTTGATTTCCTTTAGGATTGACTGGTTTGGTCTCCTTGTGGTCCAAGGAGAGTCTTCTTCTCAAGAGTCTTCAACACCACAGTTTGAAAGCATCAAATGTTTTTCTGCTGGCTGTATTTTTTATTTTGTGAATGATCTGTGCATATCTTCCCATGCTACCCTTTGGGGAAATCCAGTCACACTTGGGATACTGAATCTTCAGCATTTTGAGAGCAGAAATGTCCATGGAGAGGAAGATATCTAAAGGGGGCTGGGGGACAGGGGTAACCAGAGAGAGCAGCTGGTGTCCCTTCCCTAGGCTGCAGGTGCAGAGCTGTGAGAATCCTCTCTGTTTGACTCCAACCATCCTGTGTCCACTGAAGCAGCTCAAGGGACAGGCCCTGGGGATGCAGAGTGAGCCAACTTCATACCTGCCTGGGAGGAGTAAGCCCAGAGGGGCTCAGGCAACATAAAACAAAACAACTGAGACAGAGCTGAGTAGAACAGATACAGTGAAGGAGGGAAGACAATGCACACAGGCCGGGTGGGGAAGTGAGCACTTGAACTGGTCCAGGAAGGGGTTTGGACAGGGGCAGCAGGAGTGGGAGAAACTAAATGAGCTGAGAGCAAATAGAAAACTGTATGGAATGGGTGAAATATCAGGCATGTTTGAAACTAGTCTGGAGAGACTACAAAGGCCCTAAATGCCATGCTCAGAGTTCAACTTTATCTTGTCAGTCGGTATCTCCAAAGTATGTGATGTCAGAATGCCAATTTAGCAGAACAGTTAAGGCTCTTGCCTGATAAGACAGAAGGAATGTCATTCCCATGGTCACACATGTTGTGAAATACCAGACTGAAGAATGTAATGTTTCCACTGGAGTAGGAACCATGAATACCTCAGAAGGGGTCAGTCTCTACAATTCCTAAATTTCTCTGATCTCTGCCTTTCTTGAGGAGCATTTCTCAGAACTGCCGTTCCCAGGAGCACACTCAGAATTTCTGATGTAGGTGACTTGAGTGACAGTGAGCACAGGAGCCAAGCTGTGTTGTACTCTCTCCTCAAGCCCTTGCCTTTCCTCACCCTATCTACCAGCTATAAAAGCTCATCAACAATGTAATCCTTTTGATAGAACCCTATTTTAGTTTTCTAGGAGCTCTTAAGGCAAACCTTTGTCTTAGTCTACTTAGGCTGCCATAACAAAATGCCAGAGGGAAATCCCTGGCAGGACTTAGGATTCTGTACTCACTCTGCTAAGGGTCCAGGTTCAAGCTCTGGTCAGGGAACTAAAATCCCACAAGCCACTCAGGGGGGGAGGGGGCAAGCCAGAGACTGGGTGGCTTAGATAACGAGATTCTCATAGATCTGGAGGCCAGAATGTCCCAGATCAGTGTGCGAGCTGATTCACTTCCTGGTGAGAGCTCTCTTCTCGGCTTTTGATGGCCACCTTTGTGCTCTGTCCTCACATGGCAGAGTCAGAGGCAACTCTCTGGTTCCTCCTCATATGAGGGCACTAATCCCATCATGAAAACCCCACCCTTGTGGCTTCATCTAACTCAATTACCTCCCAAATGCCCCATCTCCAAATACCATCAAATTGGGATTGAGGCTCTAACATATGAATTTGGGGGACGCAGTTCAATCCAAACCTGTCTGGCCTCAGCCCTCCTCAACGGTATATTCCACAAGCAGTTAAGGAGCTCCTACTGCATGCCAGTCACTGCTCCAGGTACTCAGGATACATCCATGCATGAGTCCCACAAACCCTCTACCCTCATCATTCCAGTAGAAGGAGAAGGACACGACACAGTAGTCATGATAAATAAGGAAATGGTATAGTGTGTTAGGGGATAAGGGCTCTGGAGAGTGGTTTCAATTTAATATCAGGAGGTCAGAGCAGGCTTCATCAAAGAGAAGACCTCTGAGAAAAGACTGGGAGGAGGTGATGGAATGGACATCTTAAGGAATAGTTATCCTGGCCCTTGGGGGGACTGTGCCTGGTGTGTTCCAGGAACAGGAGGCCAGTGTGGCTGAGGCAAGAGCGGTAAGAGAGTCTGAGATCAGAGCAGAAACTTGGAGCCAGATCAGGTCCATCTAGACCTGGAATGTCGCAAGGCCCATGCCAGAAGGGGCCTCGAAGATTGCATGATGATGCACCACTTGCTGGTCAGATGAGAAAATGAGGTGGACAGGGTTGACGGGCACTGGAATAGACCCTGGTTCCTGTGCAGTTTCTCAAACCCGGCTCTTGCTAGTGAGGACCCTGCCTGGGTCCTGTGCAGGGCTGTGCCCACCACTCTGTCCAAACGTCCAGGAAAGACCACCCAGGTGGCCACACCCGCGGGTCAGAGACCCGGTGGCTGCCGTTGCAGCACTGCCCACCAGGGGGCGCCGGCCCAGCGCGCCGCTTCTCCCTTCATCCCTGGAAACTCCCCGGTCTCGGCCCTCAGGACTGCCCCGCCTGACTCCGACCCCAGCGCCGGCCCCGCGGTGGTTCCTTCCCCCCAGGCTTGCCACTTGGTCACCTCCTTCTCTCTCTCCGCCTTCCCCTCCCGCTCCTACCTCTGCCCGGGCTGCGGGCTGAGACCGCCCGGCCTGAAGAAGAGCTCTGGAAAGGGCACGCCGCCCCCGCCCCCCGGGTTTGAGGGGCGGAGGAGTGGGGGACGCGGAGGGGCGGGCGGGGTGGAGTGTGCACAGTCACCCGTGTCGTCCACCCTGCTCCCCCGGGGCTGGCTCTTGCTCTTTCCCTCTTGTGTTTGCTGCTGAGGGGTCCCCGGGGGCTCATTTGGAGCCAGGGAACAGGGCAGCCTGGGAGCAAGGGCTGAAGAGAGATTCCGAGAGGAGAGGGGGGCCTCTGCCCGCCAGAGCCCCTGGGAAAGGAGGCTGCCTCTCCACCTAACCTCACTCGCAGGGTTTATCCCCTTCCATCAGCCACAGCCCCGGGAGGGAGACTGAGGCACCAGAGAAAGGCTTCCAGACACCTCCTTTCCCGCCTCTGGTTCCTGGAAGTGTCAGGACCAGGACAAGCGGGGGGCGGACTCTGCGCGCACGCCGCTCTGCTCCGGGCCACCAGGAGCCCACGGGGCTGGGGCGGCGGGGCTGCGGCCCCTTATCAGGGCTCTGTGCCCAGGCCGCACCCGCCTGGCACACACAGCCAGCCCGGAGAGGAGAGACGTCCAGGGAGCCCCCTCCCCACTGCTCCGCAGCCTGGGGGACCGGAGCCAGCTTGGGCTGATGCGGGTCTCCCCCCACCGCCCTCCAGTACCTCCGTCCGGTCCCCACCCTGATGGGGCTGCTCTCTGGGCCTCTGAGGCCTGAACCCCGAACCTGAAGAGTAGAGATCAGCGGGAGTCCCCAGGCACCTCCCCTGAACTTTGGTCTGGCTGAGTAGCTGCCCTGAGGCCAAGAGCAAGGTTCCGTCTCCAAGGGCAGACTTCCCGCTGGCCAGAGGCCGGGGAAATCCCAGGAGCCGAGCTTCCCCTGCCCCACAGGGGCTCCCAGCGGCCAGGCCACGGCAGGGAGCTGCTGGGCCCTCCCACAGCAGAGGGAGTGCCAGGCAGGCGGAGAGCTGAGGGCACGCGGCGGGGCAGGGCTGGGGCCTGCCAAGGACGGAGAGCGGGGTGAGAGAGGAGAGAGGAGCTGGGGAGACCTGGGAGCAGGGCCAGAAGCCCCGGAAGGAGGGAGAGGGGACACCTTCACTTCTGGGTATCAGGCTGTGTCACTGTCATCCTGCTCAGGAGAGAGGGTGAGGGCTGCGGGCACAGTGGAGGGGGGCAGCCAGGAGACAGGAAAGGTGGGTGCCTGGTTTGCCGGTCAGGCCTAGGAGGAGGGGATCTGATCGTGATGGGCTGAGGTGGGGAGGAGACAGCTGGCAAGGCCCACTCTCCCCACTGGTGGTCCTGTGGGAAGATGGGGAAGGGAGGAAGGAGGTAGTAAGAGTGAGGGGTTTCCACGTGGCAGAAAGCCAAGCCCCCGCAGAAGAGAACGCAGCACGCAGAGGGTGGTGCTGGGCATTACAGTGGTTATTCTCGTCCTGTTTCCCTAGAGATCTCATTCGGGCCCCCTCACAACAGCTGTGGTATGTTCCTCCCCCAGCTCCCCTGCTGGGACCAGGCCCAGAATCTTCCCTGCAGTGAGCACCCCACCCCACATTGTCTCCCTCCTTTGCAGCTAACTGCCCCTCCTGACCAAACCTGAGCCGCCTCCTCCTCCTCCAGGAAGCTCTCCTAGACTGACCTCCCCCCATCCCTGGCATTCCAGGGCTCCTCATCCCCACCACAATGGCCAGAAACCCCTTTCTGGGCTCTGAAAGGTGGCTGCATGAGTGTTCTAAACACTGTGGTTTCCTGGGTGTGCCGCATGTCGCCCGTTAGTAAGGAGTCCAGGGCAGGGACCTTGACATCAGGTCACAAGCCAGTCCATGTGGAGACGGGGTGGGGAGCCACCCGTGGATTTTTACAGCTCCAAATCCTAATTAAAGGGTCTCTCTCTCCATCACAACCTGCCCAACCCTGACCTTGTATCTCTCCTTTCCCCACTTTCTTCTCAAATCCAAACCATCAGCTTCTCCCAACTTCCGGGTCTTGGCCAACTGGTCCACCCCTCTCCTACTCACTGAGGCTGGAAACCTGAAGTCATCTTGACTCCTTCCTCCAACAGCCCAGATACAGGCTCACATCCAGCCCTGCCTTTTCCAGGGCTCCAACCCAGGTCACTTCACCTCATCTCAAGTCAGCAAGCATTCTTGATCACCTGCCAGGGCCTGACTGATGTCAGGTGCGGGTACACAAAAGATGAGTAAGGCAGCAGCCTTGCCCTCAAGGGCGTCACCGCGGTGTTAGTCGCACTGTAGTAAGTTCTATACTGGAAGCCCTGAGAGGTTTGGAGTCGGAGAGCTGCATTTCCACTGGGGACATGAGGAAGGTAGCCTGGACTGTTTCTGTGCTTCCTTCATGGAAAGGACAAAGTTCTGCTCACCAGTGACTGGCTGGAGGACGTTGGACAAGTTACTTCACCTCTGAGACTTTGTTTCCACAGCAACAATATGGGGATGGTAAACCCTTGCCGGATTTGGGAGGATTAGCTGTAATGATAGCCAACATTTATTAGTGCTTGTTAGGTACCAAGCCCTCTCCTAAGTGTTCTATAGGTAACAGGTCATCTTATCCTTACAGCCCCCTGTGAGACAAAAGCCACAGTCATTCCTATTTTCAGATGAAGGAGCTAAGGCTCAGGGATGTTAAGTATATTGTCCAAGTGAGCCCAACTAAAAAGGACTGATGCCAGAATTTGATGCAAGACACTGTTTCATAATTTGGTCATAATCACCTGTGCAAGTTTATCTTCAAAATAATTGTAATAATTATTTTGTTAATAATAATTAATTGTAATAATAACTTTTTTCGAGAGCTCTACTCTGTGCCAGGCTCTATGATGATGACTTGCATTTAATCCTTAGAACAACCTCTATTATCATATTGTGAGAAAATCAAGGCTCAGAAAAGTTAAGTAATGTCCCAGTCTTACAAGCCAGTTCCCTGTATAGTCAGGCTTTAAACCAGATCTGTCCAACACCAGAGCTTTCTTTTCTGCCCAGCACTCTCCCGTGGCTCAGCCTATCTGCTCACCTCCCAAGCTCACACAGTCACCACACTTGTTCACCATGCTTGTTAATGCCCACTCCCCACCAACTCTCCACATCACCTCTGATTAATCCCCCTCCACTTTTCGGATTCCCACCCACCATCAAAGGCTCAGCGTCTCTGTAAGCCATCCACACTGAGTCACTGAAGCCCACCCTGGCTTCTCCCAGACAGTATGTTTGTGACATGCATTTTGACACTTGACCATATTTAATTGGGGCTTTCCAGGTGGTGCTAGTGGTAAAGAATCTGCCTGCCAGTGCAGGAGACGTAAGAGACACAGGTTCAACCCCTGGGTTGGGAAGAACCCCTGGAGGAGGGTATGGCAACCCACTTCAATATTCTTGTCTGGAGAATTCAATGGACAGCAGAACCTGGTGGGCTACAGTGCATAGGGCTGCGAAGAGTCAAACACAAATGAAGCAACTTAGCACACATGCACATATTTAATTGAGAGTGTAATTATATATTATTTGGCATTGTCTTATAATTATCTAATATTTAGAAATCATACATCCCCAACCAGTGCAAAACTTCCTTGAGGGCAAGAAACTTAACTTTCCCTTCACTTATTCTGTCTCCTCCCCTCATCACTTCAGCAGGCTGCTAGACACACAGCAAGTGCTCCTTAAATAAATCGAAATGCGAAAGGCATTGAAGAGGCAGGAATTCCTAGATTATTCATCATCTTTGTATCTTACTGTATGGATGCATATCTATACAATACATAACCCTGGCAGACACCCATAAACCTCACCTGAAGGCAGATTCCTCCTCGGATTCTGGGAGCTGGGATCCTTTGAGGGCAGATCAGCCAAAGCACAGCGTTACTCTTCCCTCTCCACTGGCAGTGCCAGTTCCTTGTCCTTTCATTGCCCCCCTCTTCTCCGTGGATGAGGGCACTGAGAGTTACCTGAGGTAGGAGAGGAGTCGTGGAGGAGCAGGGAGGGCACACAGGGCCCCTGTCGGCTCCTAAGCCTGCTGTGCCACTCTTGTGTCTCCGCAGTGACCCACGCAGTCACCGGGTTTCGTGAGTAGGTGACCTGCACAGTGGCACAGCGTCCAGCCCTCAGAAGGTCCCCCCAGATGAAGGTGAAAACACAGCCTGGGCTCCTTGCTGGCTCTGCCACCTACGGGAGACAAGGTTAGGGGGAAATTTGTCAGCCTCTCTCAACAGGCTCTCAGCTCTACTTGTAGTTTCACCGTTTCCTCATGTAGGAAGTGCAGATTCCCCTTAGCATTTCCAGCAGGGGACACAGAATATGCACATAATGCAGTGCCTCGCACATTGTAAGCACTCAACACCTGGCAGCCATTGTGGGTGCTACTGTGATTATTGCTGAGGCAGGAGATACCAATGGGAGTTGGGAATGTAGATGGAGCTGGAAAGAACTGGAGGTTTGGCCTTGTGACCAGACAACTCATACCCATGGTCCAGAGATCAGGAACAGAGCTCCTATGGGTCCAGGCCTCCCACCATTATTAATTACCCTTTCTCTCCTTCCAATTTTCTAATCATACCTCTCCTGCCTCCTCGGCAAGGGCTGTGCTCTATCTCTAGCAGTTTTCTTATCATGTCTTGAACATAAGCATTGCTTTTGTCTGCTTCCGAAACTTTGCACAAAACATTTGCTGCTAGATAGTCTCCCTCTCTCCGCCTTCCCACATACGTGCCTATCACCTCCTCCAGGAGCCCTTCTTCACTAGGCCTCTCTACTCCTCTCCTTGATTCCAGGGGCAACCTTACCTTGCATTTGCTCAGACCTCACTTAGTCGTGGCTTCCTGCCTCCCCCACTCACTGAAGGAAGCAGATGCCATGTCTTCATCTTGAATATAAATGCCTGAGGACAGACACCTGGCCCCTTTGAAATTCTCCCCGCCTCATTAGAATGTCTTTCTGAGCTTTGAGCTCTGTGTAAGCCCACTCCTCTGTGCTCCGTTTTCAAAGAGAGTGAAACACAGCTGCTCCTTCTCACTTTCTCAGAGGGATAGACCATAACTCAGAAAAGAAGGCTGACTATCTGGGAATCAGGGTTCCAGAAAACCACAAGATAATCATGATTTAAATGTGTTTCTGTCCTCAGCAGCAAGGATGAAGGAACATCATGGTGCAGTAGAAAACTCTGTCTGGAAAAGAGCCCAAGAGAGTCAGATCTACTCCTGACATGCTGGGTAATGTGAGCAAAGAACTTCTCCGTGACTTACCTTTCCTGATTTAAGGCTCTGAATGTTGAGGCTGGTGCCTATCCATCCTGGACTGTGCATATGATTGGCCCTTTCAAGATTCCTTGGTGAAGCTTTTATTTGTTTACTTTAAGTAAGAAAACAGAGCTGACCCTAAATGACACTGTCAAGATCTGAGATTATGTTTTATAGTCCTCCTTCCTGCTCTTTCAGCCCAGATCCCTTCTACCTGCTTCCGGTAGTCAGCGGGTAGAGAGAGGAGGACTTCCTCTCTCCCATATATTTCCCTCATTTATTTCCACCTAAACATGAAATGATTTGAGTAGTAGAGTCTTGCAGAAGTGAGGTGAGTTTCAGTCAGTTGCCTTTCACAGGTCAGTTGAACTTCAGGCCTTCAATCATTAACAGTATGTGATTGACTGTATTCCATATTCTAATAATGATCTCCAAGAATATTTAGATGGAAAGATCCTAGGGAGCCCTTTATGCCT